TACCACCTGGTGGCCCACAAGGCAAAGCTTCAAGCAGCCACATTATCCCCATGCCTCTGCCAGCTCTGTTCCTGCCACTCCTCCGCTCTTGCGCTGCTGTGTGCGTTGTGCCGCCGGCACGAAGAGCTTCCTAAACTCTCTCTAAACTTTCGCACAAAAGGCCAGCCCTCAATGGGCAGCCCCCACTCCCACCCATCTGCTCTCGCCCCCCCTGTGGATTGCAACTTTTTGACTTTGTGCGCCTTTGCGGCTGTTGTAGCTGCGAAAATTTATGGCCAATTCAATAAACGATTTTATTACATGCGCACGTTGTGTTAACAATGTTATTATTATTGGCGCCCGGTTCCGAAAAAGGGTTTCCGAAAGGCATGAGGGGGGTTCCCTCCCTCCCTCCCCACGGCAATGCAGTGAATCTGATGGCGCATAAAAGGCAACGGCAACGGCAACGGCAACGTATACCGGATAAAGGGTAGTGGATATCGGATAGCGGGTTGGGTTATGCTAGCCGGAAACTGGCCGAGTGTGTGCCAATTATTATGAAAATTAATTTATTTTCTATCGGTAATGCGAGCCCTGGGCGCAGATGTAGGCCACGGCAGTAGCTACGGCTGCCAGTGGCTTCAGCAATTTTCTTATCGCAGCCTGACCAGCAGCCAGCAGCCAGAATACCCATTCCACATTCCTCTCTCGCTCTCTCTCTCTCTCTCTCTCTCTTGTGAAAGTTCTCCACAGGAATTGCAGTGCGGAGCCAGTTCTTTCGTTCATTTCCAAATGCCTTTACTTTGTGCACTGCGCCAGCCAGCCAGCGATTGTTGTGGCTGGCTGCTGTTGGCCCCACTGTGCGGCCCGATTGGTCTGTCAACGCTTTTTGCGCTTTTGTTTGTCCAATATACAAAAGGCCAGCGCCAGCACAGGGACAGAGACGGAGACAGAGACAGAGACACCACCACACCCCACACACACACAAATGCTCCTTGCGTGGAGAGATACCCAACACTCAAATACTCCATGGGTGGTGGGTGGTGGTAGGTGGGTGAATGTGAATGTGAATGGTGGAACCTTATTTTCTGCCAATGCATTGTCCCCTGCTCACGAGGGTGTGTGTGTGTGTGTGTGTCTCTGTGTTAGAGTGCAAATACAAAGAATTCATAGAAGGGCGCACTCATGTGCAACCCAACAAGGCAACAAAAGTCTCATTACTTTTACTTGGCAAATAATGAAGCTAACAAAAAGGCACACACATGCATACGCATACGCCTGTGTGTGTGTGTGCATCTGTGTGTCAATTTGACAATTGACTTTGGCTTTTTGCAGCCAGTTGGCGGCACATCGTCACTCGTGCCACACAAACAACAAAGAACACATCCATAGTATGTATTTGCATACATATGTACATATATGTTTGCCCATGCCATTTAATTTCACTCTTGGGTTGCAAGAGATCGTAGAAGAGAGCGCTCTCTCTCTCTTTCTATAGCTGAAGAAACAAATCCAAGAAGGATTCCAGCTGGAGATCTTTGCTGACGACACTAGAAGCAGCCCAAGAGGGTAGAGCTGCCAGGAAGAGTTGCCCACCCGCTACCCTCCTGCCTCCTGCTTCCTGCCCACTTGCTGCTTTCCACCACTTTGATGAATTACGAATAAAAGCTACACGAGACATATGCACAATCATTTTGCCCAATCATTCGGGCACTCGGCTTAATTGATTTTAAAGTTTCAGCTAAAGTTGAGCTAGTTTTTGTTAGGGGGGAGGGCAAACAATGATCACGGCAATCGTACACACATGCGTATGTATGTATGTACATACTCCTGGGTATGCAGCGAGCACAGATGTGTAACAGTTTGACCCAGGACCAACCATCAACGCATTCATTCCGCGAAAAGAAAAAAGGAATTTTAGCTTTAATATTCGAAGCTTTTAATACACTTTTCGATGCATTCTTTCTACTCGTTCCCATATAAATTGTGATACCTTCCGACTTGCTTTGTGGCCCTCGACAGGTCCTGGAAAGCTGAGGAACAGATGCCTACCATCACTCGTGAGAGTATACAATGAAGTCTGTCAGAAAAGAACGGCAACGCGTCACAAAGCTCTTGAAACTTTCAGCGCAGGAGGAGCCTAGGGGGCCGGGCCCAGTCGCCCGGTTCAGGGTCAGGTCTGGTTCGGTCAGGCGGCTTTTGAGTGTTTTCCACCTGAGCACAAACTTAAGTGGTGAAACTTGATTAAAGCCGCACACGCAGGCGACGAGGGGTAGCAGCGCGACAGCAGAGACGGCACAGACAGCAGAGCCCTGGCATACAGGTAGATCGGGGCAAAAGTTTTTGATACAGCCAAGGACACGGGACAGGGATTAAGTTGCGGTTATGCGGCAGCCATTGACCAAAGGACTTGAGCTGGACTTCTTGTTTTATTTTTTGTTTTCGGCTTCCACTGGCCGCAGCATCATTTATTTATCATACATCATTTCGCAAACCAAGATTCAGCTCCACTCTGCGACTGTTACTGTTGCTGCTGGTGCTGGTGCAACTCTCCCTCGAACGGCAAGTCCAGGGCATACTCCTGTTGCTGCCTCAGCAGCAGAGCCTGATGGATGCCAGGATAGTCCACAAAGTCAGGTGCATACCGTCCAAACGGGTGTTGTGGCTCGGATAGAAGGGCAAGGGCAAGGCTTGCCTCCTCCTCCAGTTCGTAATCCCTGGGCGGCGGCAGGTAGGCATTAAATGGTAGCTGGGCAGCCAAGCATCCAGCAACTATCAGGATTGTAGCCAAAAGGTGCTGCAGCATCATCATTGTTATGTTGCAAGGCATCGACTGTGCAGCCAGCTCTCGCCCAAGCCGCTTTTATTGGGAAGATTGCAAGGCCAAGTTTGGCACTTACTGGGATACAATTAGGCTTTGCTCGAGCCCATGCCATTACGTTCATATTTCGGCACAGCAAAGCTCTGGCTTAAGTTTTCAATTTGCTTTGATTTCGCTCTGCAGCACCTTGGCTTCAAATCCAAACTTAATTCATTCTGAACTTCGTTGCTGGCTGCCTCACCATTGAGTGTGCCTCAATTTATGCTGATCCTGATCTTGAGACAACGTACACAATACGACACAGTTCGACTCCCAGTTCCTGCTGATATATCGTGATTTAATTTGAATAGCCAATTCGGTTCTGCACAGCCTTGGATTGAAATTCATCTGCCATGGGTTGGTTTCTTATGCGAAATTCTTAATTAATGCCATCGCCGATTCATCTCTGGCATACTGCATAAATTTCCCAGTATTTCAATGGATTCAAACAGCATCAAATTGGTCCCAAAATTAGCCCACAGCCAAAGAACCTTGATCTGAAAACCAGCCACATAATAGTGAATTAATGACGATGTACATGTCTGATCTTCAGAGACAAGACAAACACCGAACTTAATGTCTAAAGGGCATTGGCATCTCTTGCATAAATTTCCCACTATTGCCACAGTGTCGCTGTAATACTGGTTTCACTCTGCTCTTATACCACAACGACTGCGACGGCGACGGCGACTGCTACGGCGACGAAGATGACGATGACGACGAGGACGAGAACGAGGCGCCCAACCAAACGGCTGCCGAGTGCCAGCGCATGCGCTCCGGGCCGCGGGCTGTCTGACGAATTACAGCGTTTCCCGCCAAAGACCAGGCCACGGCGGGCATCAGGCAATCCGTGCATCTGGCGCACGGCCTTTGTTTACCTTTGTTATCAGCTCTTATCAGCCGTACGGGATGTAGGCCTGGTCGGCATGGCCCGCAGGGCCTGGGGGCGTTCTGGCGGCATTAAGTGTCCGCCCATTGGCTGGATATCAGTTTGGGGGCAGGCAAAGGTACAGGTACATTGGAGTGAGCAGGGTGGGCTGGTGGTGGTGGGGGGGCATGGATAAATGAACAATCCTCCGTAGGCAATTAAATGTAATTAATATGGCCGAATGCAAATCTCTTCATTAGCACAAAAACTTTTGCTTAGTAGCCGACTGACTGCTGTTAGCAAGAACAACTCGAACAACTGAATGACAACTACAAGTCTGGCACGAGTATGGCTTAAAAGGCATAATTAAGAGTTGGAACAGCAGCAGCAGCAACAGCAGCAGTAGCAGCAGCAGCATCGACGACGATGTAGATGATGATGATGTTGATGATGCTACGATAACTGGTAGCCGGTAAATGTTGAACAAGCAAACAGGAAGAGAGAACTGAACGTGGAACCAAAGAGCAATCAACGAAGGCGAGATACACTCTCCCATGCGGGAGGGGCAGCTGCAGAGTTCTCTCCCTTGCAATCTAAATCTTAAATCTACCCAATCTGCAGGAGAAACTACAGAGAGCTTAATGTCCTCCGAGGCGGCACATTGGACGGTAGAAAGTGTTAGAGTGTTCTCCGATCGGCATTGGGGCAGTGTGGCACGGGTCTAGCTAACGACACACATCATACATTGAATGCTACATGCAGGGCAACATTTGTTGCTTGCAGCCGTTTTGGGATGGGGTTGGGCACACCGAGAATTCTCCTCAAACCACTGCCCTGCCCTGGCCTGCCCTGTTCTGTCCTGACCTGCTGTGGCCCGCAACACTTCCGGCATTTAGGCAAACAAAATATGTAGCAACAAGGAGCAGAGCTGCAACAAGCACTAGCACAAGCACAAGCCGAAGCAGAGCGAAGCGGAGCGCATTTGTGTTCCATTTGGGGGGGGGGGGGAGGACCCTGCCACATGTGTAGGCGGAAAATGCGGCCATGTAGGCTAATGAGTTCGTTCTACGAGTATGTCGGACGTGTCTTGTTTTTCTCCATCTTTTTATTTCCATGTAACCCTGTGCAACCCAGTAACCCTTCTCCATCTCCATCTCCTATCCGTCTCCTGATTTCGTCCCGTTGCTGTTGTTGTTGTTGTTGTTCTTGCTGCTGCTGCTCTTTCTGACGGCTAACGAGGGCGTTCCATTGTCTTCTGGTGGCACAACCAGCACACGGCCACCCTCACAGACAAAATGCCAGCGGCGGTGTCACAACCTGATGGCAGATGGCGTATTCCAAATGGAATTCGGTAACGGCCCCTCCCATCATAATGCTGGGCTAACAGGCTGTGGGGCAAGGTGGAGTTTACCGTGGAGTTATCAGTACATTCCCAAGCAAGCCCAGCTCCAGACCCCGAGCTCTATTGAGCCCGAAGGTCAAGTCAAGCGCTTCCCCCGACTAACCCAAAACCCAAACCGTATCCAAGCAAACATTTATTAAACATCGACAATGAGAAAAGGACACAAAATATGTGGGAGTTCGGGTCTAGAAGAGCCAACGCCTCAGCCAGGCTACGCGCACACTGAGGAGCTCCAGGAGAAAGGCCAGGACAGCGGCACCCAGCAGAATGGAGCCGATGAAGTAAAGGCCGCAGAATACCTCAAGCGGCAGGGGAGAGACCTCGTGGGCGGCCCTTTGTGGCACCCAGTTCTGGGGTCGATCAAACTCGTGAACGATGTAGCCAATGATTCCCGAGGACTGCAGCTGCTTGAGCTTCCGGTCGAAGGCGAACTTCAGCAGAGAGTTGACGGGCAGATAGATGACCAGCTGGTAGAGAAAGATGTGCTCCCGGACGTGGGTGAGGTGGCTGGTCCGCCAGTTGATCATGTTGTTATAGCCAAGGTTCGCGATCAGGGCGGTTGTGGTGAGGCGTTCGTCCTCGCCAAACTTCTGGATGCGATCGAAGCGTTCCTGAATGCTTACCGGCAGGAGAACGGTCTGGTTGCGCGGATAGTAGTCGTAGTACTCCTGGCTGAGCAGCGTGTAGTTGGCGGCAATCAGCTCGGATATATGGCCGGGCAGGGGCGGGTTGTACGGCTCGCGGAACGAGTCATACAACTTACCCTGATAGGCGACCCTCAGCACCAGCACCAGGAACAGCCAGACGGAGTATAAGAACCGCCGATTACTAGTCGGCGGCAGCTGGCCCACCACCAGTGGATTGCCCAGCAGCGTGGTGAGCACGACCAGCGACTTGACAGCAATATCGGAGTCATTTTTGCGCCTGCGCCACAACCAAATAACGAACACAACGAGGATGCAGCTTACGACCAGAGCCAGCCACACAGTCGTGCAGAAGGGCACCAGCAGCTGCTCCACGGCCCCTATCTGGGAGTTCATGTTCACCACAAACACAAGGGAGCTCTGGTGGTAGGAGACGGTCGTGGTGAGCTGATTTCTGTTCGCGTGCGAGCCACTCATTGCCCCAATCAGCGCCGAGGAGCTGCGGTTGTTTAGCTGATCGAAGCAGCTGTCGCAGCTGACGTAGCTGCCGTTGCAGATCGGTTGCTTTTTGCACGGCGCCATGAGCTGGATGCGAAAATTAAAGATCTCGGCCAGCAGCTTGATAAGCTCACCATCGATCCCGCTTAGCCGCCACAACTGTTTCCGCTCCTCGGGATCGTCCATGTCGCCCAGAAAGTGAACAAAAGGCGGCACCGGATACCAACTGACCCTGATGGGACAGTTGGCGAGGCTGCCCAACACCCGGTCGAAGATGCGGCTCGTCTCGTGCCGAAACGATCCGTTTTCGAACTGATTGACCAGCTGCAGGTTCATGGTGAGCTTGCAGTCCCTGTTGTACAGTCGATAGCCATATATGAACACCACTCCGTCGTTGTGCTGCGTCAACATGATGGCATTCATTGTGTGTAGACGCACACAGGTCGTAAATATATCCCGCATTGCCTCCACTCTCTTCTCCCTCGTGCCCTGGCTTCGCGTCAGCAAAATGAGGAAGTTGAACTCCTGTCTCTGTGGCGCTTTGCTGACCAGAATGTTGAGCGATCGAAAGGCCTCCGCCGAGTTCACCAGAATGAGAACATGGGACGCTGGTAACGTGTTGGGGGTCTCTTGATACACCCGCAGCGCCATCGAGGTGCCCGTCAGCAGCAGGAGCGAGGTGAGCAGCTGCTGCTGATGGTGGTCTCGATGGCCACCGCCATTCCGGCCCTCCGCAATCAGCTCTATCACCCCCAAGGTGGTTTGGGTGGGACTCACTTCCTTCTCCATCAGGTCCATGGCAGCTGCCGCCAATGGTGTCATCTCGTTTAGTTCTACCGGCTGCAGAGCGGCTAAGGCCACCGCTGGCAGTAGGCCCACGATTAGCCACAGATGCGACAACATTCGTACCTCGTTGCTCGTTGAACGCGAACTGAGCCCCAGCCCCAGCACCAGCACCAGCACCAGCACTAGAGCTCTGGTGCAGTCCAATTTCCCTAATGGCAGTCGCTGGTCTTTTGATCTGGATAAGCTGCACATTATTATTATTACAAAATGCTGAATTAATAACAGATCTTTATCGACCGCGGGGTGGGGCATTGCCGCTCCTTGGAGATACAAACATATGTACATCCCCGCTTATCCTCGCTGGACATCCTATTAGCTTAATGTTAGCCTGAGACAATTTCTAGATAAGAAGACTACGCAATGAAAATGTTCTTCAAAAGAAAGAAATTAGCTGCAAGTGCACTCCGGCAAATACAGTGGAGATGGCTGCACTGGCTCCCAGTTCCTCGCCGATATTTCTACTATATACCCGCTCAACCTTATCATCGCTGCTCATTGGATATGTTTTACCCCGGAGTCGGGATTGCTTTTCAGTGATAAGTAGATCTAATCAAATGAATTAATTCGGACCTCTAGCGCCTGAAGTGCTCAGGCGTTGTGTGTAGAAATTGTGAATCTCTAAACAATAATCGCGAAGCATTGCAGTAAATTAAGAAAGATTTTTGAATGGTCAAAAAAGTTGACACAGATTGTTATGAGCAAATTATGGCTAAGGGAGCATCAGTGCCCTTGCAATCGAGCAAAACGAGGAAGAACGTTGAGTCGCTTCTGTGGCCGCGACTCTACTTATACCCGACGTCGGGGGGGGGCGGGGGGGTTCCTCAGGGGCCCCCATGCGGGAACAAAAGAACGGGTGGGGTTAACGCCCCCGTCCCCCCCCCCCCCCCCCCCCTCCCTCGCGGCGGGGTGCCCCTGAGAAGAACGTTGAGTCGCTTCTGTGGCCGCGACTCTACTTTTATACCCGTACTCAGTCAGTCAGTATATATGTGAGCTTATGATTTATGTGGAATTTTAAAAGTGTGTGTGGCAGTGTGTAAGAGAAAAAAAGAGAATGAGTAGCGGCTGCATAGCTGGAAGGGGCTGGAGTAGCGGAAGGGTTGCCTTCAGGTAGACCCGATCATGCAGTGGCTCTCGTGGACTAGACCACGACTATGCTGGATAGGCCCACGTTGGTTAGGACTGGCCCAAGTGGGTTAGCCCAAGGACTTTCCCAAGTGGGTCAGAGTTGTAGACTTTTGTGGCCAATTTATTTACTGTCAAACGATGATCATTCTTCGATTCGGCAGAGGGGTAAAATAATTCTTTATAAAGTAACTTGAACACAATTATAAGTCTACTTCGATTGGTTAGTTCTCAAACTCAGAGAACCAACTGCACAGAGTCTTTGCGTTCAATGAACTCTTATCCGATTATCCACTCTCTCTACATTTCCCAACAGCTCAACATAAGGAATATTATTTTCTGAGCAGAAGCTTGCTCGGCATGGATCAGTGTCCGTTAATGGCCGCACACTTCGCATCCCTCACTGAACAGGCTCAACAGCAATCAAGCTAAACATTCTTCTAGTGGTGGTATTCATCAGGAAAGTAGCCGCAATCCAAGAGAGTGTAAACTGCAATACGTACGAGTGCTAACCAAAAGCCAATGCAACTTGTTTGCCACAATCCCCCTTCTCGTTGGCCCTTGGGGAAAGCAGTGTAATGGGAGATACTATGGCCTAGTGTGTGGCCAGTTTTTATTTATCTTTGTGTAGAGTTGGCCACTGGGAATGGGCGTCGAGGGTCCTGGCACGGGCACGAGCACTGACTGGCGGACTGAGAATGCAAAGCAAATGCGGCATATCTCTGTGGCTGTTAGTCCAAGCGAGAGACAGACGGTTTGGGGGATAGGGAATGTCAGCAGGAGTGAGTGTGGGTGCGGTTGCCGGTGCGGGAGTGAGCAACGTGCATCCAATGGATCCCATCCTCCACCCCATCTGCCGCGCATAAAAATTAAAAATTTCATTAAATTCACAAAAATGCTTGAAGTGGAAAAATGTAATATCCTTTGGGCACAAAGGATGTGCATATAAATGCAAATGCGGTGCTGTTAAAAACGAAGCGATATGTCCGAGTCCCTTCCCACCACCCCGACCAGCCCAAAGTCCATCGTCCAGCAGCATGCATGAATGCACATTGTTCTCGTAACGAGAGCGAGAGCGAGACACTACATGTACACAAACATACATACATATGTATGCATTTATGTACGTACATTCGTATTCCGCTGGCTTATCTCGGGGCCCTACTCCGAGCTGCGCCACTGCCAACCTTTGTTTGCAATTAGCGAGTGACTTGCATAAGCAGAGTGCGGGACCAACAGACGAGTGGGCAGCCCCAAATAATAAAAGTTGTGAAAATTTGGGAAAATTCTTAAGAGCATGGAATACCGTACTCCTCAGCTAGGCAGATTCTCCTTGTTTGTGTCAGGCTACAAAATATTGTAAGCATTCTTTGATTTAATAAATACTGCACATGCCCACCGCCGATCGGGCTGATTTGTTTTTATTTTGATGTGCCCAGTTGAATTATATTTGCTGCTTTTTTGTAAGACTTAGAAGAGGATTTCTGCTGTGGATCGGAACTCTTTAGCCATGTAGCACATGAAACACCATTAATTCGGTTAAAGAAAAGGATCACCAAGAACGAAGAGGGCCGTGTGAGAGCGAAACAATATTTTGAAGATTTCCAAAATCAAATAACATTAATAATTGTGTAAATAATAAATAAATAAATAATAAATAATAATAAAATAAAATAATAATTAATAATTTATTTAACATATTTAATATTAATGAATTACAATTATCTTATATGAAAGTAGAAGGTAAAAGTAGAATCGATTTATTTTTATAACTACATATGGAAAGGGTAGATTAGGGTCACAATGGGGGGCAATGGTAGCCATTAATGAAAGACATACATATGTACATACGTATGTAAGTACATATGTATGTATGTGTGCTATGCAATTATGTATACCTTTCCATGTAATCGTACTGCGATTGTCCCGAATCAAATTGCCCAAGACGCTGTGGCATGCCGTGAGTCGTAAAAGTTTCTGGCACCGTTCTCTGCCACTTGCCTACCAAGACGTCATCGGATTGGGGGCAATCCACTCGAACCGGGTGGACTGGGTGGTCTGGGGAGCAGGCCGAGAACATATGCCAAGCGAGCGACAAAAGTTCCAAAATTAAAAGTTTTCGCTGCGACTCTGCCAGAAAGTATGCAAAAGTCGCAGATCCAGTGGAAGAACCAGCGAGGAAGCGGAAGAGCTATACGGATACGGATACGGATATGGAGAAGCGACTGCGGCAAACGAACTGTAAATGTGCAGGCGCTATTCGTATGTGTGTATGTGTGTGTGTGTGTGTGGGGGGGAACTGTAATTATGACGCTTGTTAGCAGCTATCCCTTGGATATGCACAATCCCCAACGTTTATTCCTCTGTTTCTCGTTCTTGACTATTTCTTATTTATTCCCAAACTGGGTATACAATTTCGTTTGGTATTTCACGAGTAAGTGTCTCCTTTGAGGTGTCTTCCTTGGGCTATCATGGCAGAGGATTCGCTAACGGTCCCTGGCCGGGAATTCACTTGCCGGCTTTAACTGGCGCTTGGTCAAATTTACCAGAATCTGTTATATCCAATTCTAATCCAATTATATTGCCCCAGGCCGCACACAGCATCCTCCTTTAGCCACTCGCTCTTCGCCACATCGTATTCTTAAGTTATGCTAAAGTTCAAGCTTTGTCTGCGCATAAATTAACAAGTGGCAGCGCCATGGCCGGGCACTACGACGAGCAGATACCCTATGCAGAATTTGGATTTGGTTTATTTAGGGATACGAGGGGAATGAGGGTTGCAAGTCAGACGATTAATAAAATTATTGCAAATCATAATTGGACCTTCTCTGGCTGTCTGGGCTCTCGATCAGGAATATTTATAGCTTATGGGACTGAAGGCGATACCCCTGTACCGCACATGCCCCCGTTGCCACCATTGTGAGGGGTATAACAATGACAAGGATATGCCCGTGCCACGACTTTGGGTGGGGTGGGACCAGCAGTAGCACAGAGGAGCAGACACAAATCGTGTAACCCAAGCAGGCAACAAGTTGCAACTTAACGTTGCCCACATCTTACCACGGACCACCTTGCCACTGTCTCCGTCTCGCCCCCTCCCCACAGATGTGGCATTCGAAACATGAGCACCCAGCCGCGCATCCCTTTCTGCTCTCTGTGAGTATGTGAGCTGAGAAATTCTACAAATTCAGCGAAAAGTATTTTTCCACCTTTAAAACGGAAGGCCCACAGGGTTCCACCCTACGCAGGCGGGGGGAGTCGAGGACGAGGACGAAGGTGAGGCTGGAAAAAAGAGAGAAATGATTTATGAATGTAAAAAGTTTTCGGACCAACTTTGTACAGCCTCACTTCCCGTACTCCCTTGGCTCGGGGGACATGGGGATATGGCATCCTCATGTTACGCACACAAACACACACACTACCATACACATGAGTGTCGGATGGGAGGGGGGCGACAGGGACAGACAGGGCCGTACGCTTAATGGAATTATAAAAATGTTAACTTCAGCAGAAATTCACAAACAGCACCCCATCCATCCATCCACCTCCCATTCTATTCCCGACATGTGTGGGCCTCTAACCTTTCCCTTTTTCTACGAGTATATGCATTCTGTTATAATTTTGTTTAACATTTGAAGTGGCTTTGTTTGTGCACTTAACAAAAAAAAAAAAAAAGAATGTTCACCACAAACGATGAAAAATATTTGGGTAGACCCAACACACCAACAGCAACACCAACCTCACCACATACTCGTGTGGGGCGATCTATAACTATGTGATGATTCGGGTAGAGCCGCCACTATTGATTTGATTCGCTGCCCCTTTGGTGGCAGAGGGCGAGATAAAAACCAAAGCAAAAATTGGCCCCAAATAAAGGAGTAAAGATTCAACGTCAGCAGCAGACTGACATAGTAGGAAATAGTATATATGTATAT